AAAAAAAAAGAAGAAGAAGTGGCTAACTGAAAATTCAATTATGAAAGAAAGATTTAACCGCAATCAATATAGTAAATCAAATCCCTAAAAAAGATGGCAGGAAAAAATGGTGGTGAGGAGGATGGATAGATTAGGGGTTTTGGAGAAAATATTAATTAGAGTTTTAATAGGATTGTAAATTATTTTGGGGTAGAATTGTCATAATGTAAATATTATTAAAGATATTTTTGTTGAGCACTTTCAACTTTTAGAATTAAATAAGGAATCTTTTACTTAATATTTTAGCATATTTTTAAGGAGTACTTAATATATTAAGATCTTCAAATTTTAGTTGTCAAATTTGCTTAATTAATAAGTACCGAATACATTTATTTTAAGTCTTGAATTTGGTTTAACAAACACATATTTTGTAATGTCGAGAATCTTTAAATAAGAGCGTATTTTGTATAGCTTTAGAGAGGATGAACGTATTTTGTGTAGCTTTAGGGTCATGGGTGAAGCCAGAGTCAATCACATAAATTCAGATTGATTTTCAAGATATTTGAATTCGATTTAAAAATATTTTTTAATCTAATATGAATATTCAACGATGTTTTTTAACAGTCTATATCCAAATAAAATAAATATTAAATAGTCGAATGGATATGTGAGTTATTTAGAATTGAATTTTATTAAATTACATTTTAAGTCAATTCAATTGTATCAAGTAATACTCAATTTCTTTCATCATATATCCACATATATGAATTGCAATAAATCAAATTATATCATAATCAAATTAGAGTTTGGTATATCAATATTTAAAATCATGAAATAAGACAACTGATTTGAACTTGGATAATCAATTAAAGTTATCAATTCATATCTAAGTAATCGAATTTTTATTCAAATTGAATTCAAGTTATAATTCAATATGTTAAGATATCTAAATTTTAAATTTATGAAATAATCCCATTTGATTTTTAAAATATGAAACTATACCCAATATTTTTACAAATTTTTGTGGTGGCAAGAGTTAGAAAAACATTAAATTTTTTAAAATTTTAAAAAGACCTCAAAATTTTTTATTTTTTTATTTTTTTTGGGGGGGGGGGGTACTAAACGATATTGTACATCTATATCTTTTGGAAATAAAAATTTTATTTTCCAAAAATAAAGATACATGACCTTAATTTTCCTGGTACTTTTGTCTAATTTGTTCTGTTCTACTTGCGTACTTGTATGAAAAAATACTCTACATGTGCATGCATGTTTGCATGAAAAAACTAAATCTCTCTCAATATTTAAACACGACAAATAAAAGAAGATGAATAAATGTGATTCAATGCCACCTAATGCTTATCATTCATGATGCTTGAGGCATCAAGATTAGCTTCTCTGCCCCTAGGGAGCCTTAGGTCCCCTTAATATCCTATCTTGCTTTGTTGAGAATCTATATCAACTTGTAAAACATTTTTCACATAAAAGCCCATTAATTCTGTGTGGCTTTAGTGCAACAGATTGTTCTGTTATGAAGGGGATGCAAATAAAAAAGTACCATGCTAATTGTACTATGATGTTGGTCATCGACTCTAGACACACTAAAATGCATCACGACCGTAAACACAAATATGTTAGATATAAGAAGTAGTTGGTCGAGCAACTTAGAATATATATCGTGGCTTCGTGGAATAATAATGGGCAATACACCTCGATTCAATGACGATGAGGTGGTGAAATGTTTCCGAATCAATCACGAGTTAAATGAGACTTGTGGTTGACATGAAATATAAACAATGTTGGATTAAAGAGTGTCGACTCGGATATAACCCAACTAAATTAAATCCAACTTGGACAACTTTTTGAACGCTATCGTGTGCATATTTTCCTGCAGGAGAAGTTATTGGTGCTTGTTCAACAGGATTTAGCAATCTTAATTTGGGGACCCAGGTTGGTAAGCAGTGGTTGATTGTTCCTTATTTGTGGAGCAAACAGGGGCAGACTTGTAGGGCCAAAACCCAAAAGGGTTATCATCACAGCCTGTTTTAAGTTATCAAGAGACAGAGGTGCCGCTAAATTTTCCTTGTACTGAAAGCATGGAAGAAGATCAAATAGATGTGGTGATTGATCTTAGGGGGAATACCTTCACTCTCTTCACACTAACGTTAAGAGTAAATTCAAGCTTTTTCAGTACTCCTTCAGTCAAGTAGATGCATGAATGATATAGATTAGAGTAAAAGCCTTTAGCACCAAGTGTTCTATTCTTTTATCTCTAATGATTCTCCGGAATTTTTGCAGTTGAGCTTCAAAGAAATTCAGGTTGGTGAACTGGTCACAATTTACTCTACCACGTTACGCATTAAATTACACTCACCCCCCTTCTGCACGTGTCATCGACGCTCTACCACCTACTTTTTCTTTCTGTTTTCCTTTTTTGTTTTTCCCCTAAACCAAACACTCCTTATTACCATCACTAAACACAATTCCAAAACCATTAATGTGAAAGGGCAAAAAAAAAACCGATCTTTCATAAAAATGCCCATACAAAAGTGAAAAGTTTTTCCACATAAAGACTTTTCACAAATTTCCCAGCTTTGCGAAAAAATCACTTTTTGAAACTCAATCCTAGTTAGGCATGTATGTATATAATTTCAAAAAGATGTGGAAAATCTTGTTGGATTGTCCTTAGGAACTTTGATTGAGATCCATCTAAATCCTTTTTTTTTTTATAAGCTTTGCTTATTTGATTCAAAAACCCGCTAATAAATAGTGTATTTTTAGTTGAATTTAGTGAATATGTGATAAAGAGGATCTCAGGCTTCCAACAGTGTTCAACTTACATGGAACTACACGAGCTTCACCCCTCAAAATGTATGGATAATAGCGGTCCGCCCAGTCGGTCCGCCCTGTGTGATGCACACAATTATAATTTTTATCTTTTTTTTTTTTTTCATTCTATCAATTGAAAATTTAAATAAATAATTATAAAAAATATTTTTGCTCACAAAAATAGTACTTTTAAATAAATTTTAAAAAAATTAGCAATTAGTTAGAACATCTCCAACTATGACTAAAATTTTTACTCAAATTTAAATTAATATTTGAGTAAAAAACTTGATTTAATACAAATGACTCAAATGGGCAAATTCAAATTTAAAGAAAAGAGAAACCCAAATTTAAATGTGGGTAAACTCAAATTTAAAAAAGAATAAAAATGATCATTTGATCTTTAAACGAGGTTGAAATCTTACCATGAACAATTTAGATAAAAATTTGAATCTCCCTTGATTTGGATTAAAAAAAAAAGTCTCCATTTTTTAGTATAAGTTTGAGTTAAAAGTTAGAGTAAATATTATGAAGTTTTTTAGTTAAATATAAATTTAAGTAAAAGTCAGATATAGTCTTATTAGGGAGTTGAGAGGTGGTTGCAAGAGTTGATGAGAGGAGAGTGAAATTTTGCATTAAAAAATTCAAAATTCTAAAAATTTAAAAATGAAAAGTCATCTTTCTTTGGTTTAAAAATGAAAATACTGCAATGGGAGTATACCATTGGGTATTTTTTTTGGTGTGTATGCAATTAATATAATAGTAAATTTAAAAACATCATCTTTTTGGAAGTTTTATCAAATTTCCATGCAAGTTCTTTTATCTTTACCATTGTGAATCCAATAATTTGTAGGAATATCTCTGTTTAGCTGTCTGGTGGGGGTGGGTATTGTCTTGCTGACCTGGGTTTCTCTTAAAAAATTCACTGGAATACACATATATGCCGTGATTGACTCTCCAGAATGTCTGTTTATTTTGATTGAAGTTTGGGTTTTGATGATTAGATATTACAGTTCATACCTAGTCATCAATCCGCGTTTTGGTTTCCGTGTTGATTTCTTATACTTGTTTCTTCTGGTCGCAATTAAATCTGGATTTGAGTTTGCGTGAGACGTACGAGGTTGAAACGTTGTCTTCAAAGAAATATTCGAGGTAATTCGTGTTTGTGGCAGAATCTTAGCTTTCATAGCTGTCAAATGATGAATGCATTGTTAAAAATTCTTTTGACTTTTGATTCTGTCTTTAGATAATTGGTCCTACGAAATGTTTGGCTTTGTGGGTTTGTCAGATCTTAACTTGAACACAGATCAACTTCCAAACTTAAAGAGTTATTTAAATATATCTAGAGTTTTCATCTGCGAGGGACTTCGGGGTTTCAGTTAGCTTCCATTGTTAGGGATTTATGGAATGTGAATCTGGCTTTTGTTCATTGTGGTGGAATGGTTGAGATGTTGAAATTCTTGAAATTAGTGTGAGTTTAGGGTAAAGGGTTTGAGATTTTGGGGGAATCGAGGGGACTGAGGGAAAGGTGTTTGCGGCTTGGAAATGGGGTCTAGGGAAGAAAGTTATCAGTATCGTCATGATCTTGTGCCGTTAGCTGCACTGATCAGCAGGGAGATGAGGAGTGAGAAGATGGAGAAGCCAACAGTGAGTTATGGGTCTGCCGCTCAGTCTAGGAAAGGGGAGGATTATTTTCTGATGAAGACGGATTGCCAGAGAGTGCCAAGGAATCCTTCAACAACGTTCTCTGTCTTTGCGGTATGTAACTATTCCATTACAAATATCTAATGAGTCCAGATTTTATCGATTGAAGAATTTAGGAATGATCTTTTTGGCCTCCATCCATAATGCCACAACCATGGGACTTGTAACTGAGCTATTTCATTTAAGCTCACTGAAAAATAATTTTATTGTTAGCAAATGATGTGCTCAGTTTAGGGTAGTTTAGTTCGGGTTTTATCCACACAATTTTATCTTTGAACTTTCTATTCTGTGGGCTATGGGCTCATCATGTTTCCCTCGTGGGAAGTTGTTAGATTGTAATGGAAGAAATTAACTTATATCATCTTTGCTATCAGCATTCTTAGCCAAGGGTCATCAGAAGCAATTATAATACTTCGAACTGCATTTGACAACTAGATCAGTGTTCAGTTGTATCCTAATATTTTTGCCTGATATTGCCTTATTGTCTTACAGGATATGATGTTTGTTGGTTTTCAATCTTCTTTCAGGTTTTTGATGGGCACAATGGGAATGCAGCAGCAATTTTTTCGAAGGATCATTTGTTGAATCATGTGTTAAGTGCTATTCCTCGTGGTCTTGAGCGGGATGAATGGCTTCAGGCTTTACCTCGGGCATTAGTTGCTGGATTTGTGAAGACTGACAAGGAGTTTCAGAGAAAAGGCATGAAGTTTTGAGTCTTTTCCTATCTTTGCTTTCTCCGAGTGCTTTCAGTTGTTCTTCTTGTGCATCATGGTACTAAATGCCTTTGATTTTCATCTTTATTTCTCCAGGACTGACTTCTGGGACCACAGCTACCCTTGTAATAGTCGATGGATGGACTGTGACAGTTGCATCTGTTGGAGACTCCCGTTGCATTTTAGATACTCAGGGTGGTGTGGTATCCGAATTGACAGTGGATCATAGACTTGAAGAAAACATGGAGGAGTGAGTGTCTATCTTTCTGCTTTTTTCTCCTTCCTTTTCTTGACAGATTTTAATTGGTTCTGCTGTAATCGCAGAAGAGAACGTGTAACTGCTAGTGGAGGAGAAGTTGGAAGGCTTAGCCTTGGTGGTGGTGCTCAGGTGAGGTTTTATGTAGTTCTTTCTATGTCTGATCACACATACTAGATCGACACTGGTGGGCATCAAAAATAGAAATTATACCTTCAATTGTGAGCTATATTCTGTAATACATGTTATTTCACTTTTACAGCTTGGTCCGCTCCGTTGTTGGCCAGGAGGTTTATGCCTTTCGAGGTCAATTGGAGACATGGATATTGGAGAATATATTGTTCCAATACCCCATGTTAAACAAGTCAAGGTAATTGCTTTTTTGTTCAGATTTTATATTCATCCATTGAATTTTAATTTTTTTTTTAGTCGTACTTTTAGCTATTTCCTATTGTTGGGCATGTTGTTGGCTTGAGACTAACATTCTTCATTGTTATAAAGCTATCAAATGCAGGTGGAAGGCTTATAATTGCTTCTGACGGCATCTGGGATGCATTATCGTCAGAGATGGCTGCCAAATCATGCCGCGGGTTGCCTGCTGAACTTGCTGCTAGGCAAGTAGTGAAGGTAATTTCAACTCATCAATCCGCTATATCTCCTGGTTAGTTTAGTATATATGAGCGGGGCTTTCTAACATATGAAGAGCACAATTATCTGCAACAGTAAGGGCTTTAATTGAATCCAACTTTTGTTTTATGAGATCCATACAAACTTTCAAATTTCTTTCTTATTGCGTCCACCATTATTGTTTAGGAAGCATTGAGGACACGAGGGCTCAAGGATGACACCACTTGTATAGTTGTTGACAATATACCTCCTAATAATTCAGTACAGCCTTCATCTCCTCCAAAAAAGAAAAACAAGCTCAGAGCTCTATTTTCTGGAAAACGATCCCGTGATTCTGCTAGTAAACTTTCAAAGAAGCTATCTGCGGTAGGTATGGTGGAAGAACTATTCGAAGAAGGCTCAGCAATGCTTGCTGAAAGGTTAGTTTTTTTTTTTTATCTCACATAGACTGCCGCTTTTTGTGCATATCTATTGGGTTGGACAAGCATATGGTAAATAGAAGTATGAGACCAAGACACTTCTTGCTGAGGTTTATGGACTGGAAAAATGGGGTTCAAGGTGAGGAAATAGGAAAAATTGTAGAATCTCTAGTTTTTCTCATTAATTCTATTGCACATCAAAGACAATTTGAGTTTACAAGACAACTTAGTGATATAACACTATTGACTGACACTTCATGTAGACATCACAATTTAAATCAGAATCTAAATATTAGAATCCCAAACTCGCAAGGATAATATGGAATTGATGTTGCTGACTTCTTAAGATATCAGCTGTCTTTCTTTTTTATTTTTTTGAGGGTAAGGGGGTATGTTAACTATTGGGCAATTTTTATTGAGTTCTTGCTCGAGTATGAATGAGATTGGTTGAGTTTCTTTGATGTAATTGAGATCAAATATATAAGGTAGACATGCGTTATGACTAATTTTACCTTGGGTGTCACTGGAGCAGTGAAGAAATCAGTTCCTTGATTTCAAACTTTCTTAAGAATAAATAACTCTTGCAGTTTAGTTAAGATGGACTTTCTGCTGTTGAAAGGAATCTTTTTTTTTTTTTGAATGGGTTGCATGGAATCTAGCTGCGGTCAATTGCAATAATTTCGCATTCCAACTTTGGCTGACTTGAGGGGGATTATGATTGTTTAACTTATACTTAGGAGTGCCCAAGCAGCCAACTCTCAGCTTAGTTGAGTTTGGGTTAAATGTGCCCAATTTCAACTTCATGTGCAGCCTCCTATTATTGACTTTGGTTTGGGCTTCAAATTATATGACACATTCCTGTAGCTGCTTTTGGTTTTCCAATAATTTTGTTGTGATTAATGGCTCATCATCCACATGAATGTTATCGGGAGCAATAGGTTTTTTTAGGATGATTTGAATTATATGAAGGGAGGGAAATATATTTTTGGAATGATTTGATTAGTCTTTGATTTTAGTTTCGTTCCTAGTCAGGACTCAGAAGCTCCTTCATAGATATGTGGTGCTTTTTGTGCATGCATTACTGATGTATACACCCACGGCTATATGTTTGGTACGATGATTTCTGTATATATCATTGAATACTCTTCTTTTTCAAAGACGCGGAAGCTCTTTGTTGTCACCAAATATTGAATAAGTTACAAAATTGTCTTATTATTGCGGAACAAAACTATTGAACGAGATGATTTGTTCAGCAACTGTCATCTGATGTACTTGAGAACTATGGGCATTTTGTCAGTGATTACAGATGAAAATGGTGATTTAGAATTTTTAAAGGTTGGAATATGTTTAAGGCGTTTAATATTTTGGCTGGAATCAAGGTCATATGACAATCTGGATGCTCCTATGACACATTCTAGCACGTTTGTTTGTGTTATTTTTAAATTCCCATTGTCCAGTTGAATCTTCACTTGGTTAGCATTCTTTCATTGCTTACCATGCTTGATAGAGATTTTCTTCAATGTGGAATTTGCAGATTAGGAAACGATGATTGCAACAGTCAATCAACATCAGGCCTTTTTGTGTGCGCCATTTGCCAAGTTGACCTTGCTATGAGCGAGGGCATATCGGTTCATGCTGGCTCCATCTTCTCCACAAGCTCAAAGCCCTGGCAAGGTCCTTTCCTTTGTTCCGATTGTCGTAATAAAAAGGATGCCATGGAAGGAAAAAGGCCTAGTGGAGTTAAAGTGGGATAAGTTCAGTTTCAGCATTTTTCCTCATTCTTTTCCCCATGATTCTTTCTCATTATTCCACAATTTTTCTAGGATAGGCTATTGTTTGAATCTCAATAGTGTTGCAACAGATGTTTATTGTGATATATACCAACAATAATGTAAAATGAGTTCTAACTTCTAGCGTAAGCGACAAATAGGATTAAGGGTGGTTTTTATCTAGACTGCTAGTGGTGTCGATTTTATCGTTGAATCGACATGTGAACTGAAAAATGTGTGTTTGATGCGAGCAATCTGTTTAAATGCTATTGAGAAAAAAAATTATGACCTGTTTTTGTTAAACTTGTATTGCATGTTTATTTTTGGAATTAAATGCCTTTGGTTTGGTTTGGTTTTTCTAGAACTTGGTTATGTCCGTCACTTCTGGGATTAAGGAAAGTAATCCGAAGGTAGTAGGTTATAGAATCCGATTTGTGGCATCTTTCCTTGGTAGATTTGTTAGAGAATGACTTCTTTCATAAAATGTTAATAATAGGGCAACTCCACTCCATTCAATATAGGAACGCATCTCATCGGTGCCTTCATCCTTGATATAGGTTGTTTGTCTATGCTCTTGTAAGAAGTCTTTTCTATACCTGCTTGTGAGTGCTAGTTAGCTACCATCTTTGATATAGGTTGTTTGTCTATGCTCTTGTAAGAAGTCTTTTCTATACCTGATGCTTTTTTTTTTTCTTTTGAGTTAATGCAATGCCGAGACCCAATTGGCCTAGGCTGGGATGGCTTCCGACCCCAAGTGAAGTAAAAAGAAAAGAAAACTTTACATGTGTCACGTTCTCAGTGGTTGCAAAAAGAATACATAATACCAAAAAAAATTTGTCAAGTTCTTAGTGGTTGCAAAAAGAAGATATAATACCAAAAAGTATGTGTCACATTCTCATTGATTGAAAAAAATATATATATTACCAAAAAATAATTTTTTGGTATAATAATCGGACTCGTTAAAAAAGGCTTCCCGTGCTTTGTTTATGTATCTCCATGCTTTGGTGAAAGTGTAGCAGAAAACTTAGGCATTTTATAAAGTTATTTTATTTGATTATTTATATAATCCAAAACCACAAACAAATCAAAGGAAGATAACTTTAATTTAGTTTCAACATTATACCGAAAAGTATTTTTTTAGTATCATATCTTTGTTCAGAATTCATCTAGTCATACCTGAGAGATTCTCATGCATACATATTTATAGATAAGTTTATTGTGGGTGAGGTTCTCGTTAATACATTTTTTATCCATTTCGTCAAGTAAAATGTATATTGTGAATTCAAGTGAAATTCATTGGATATATAAGTAGATTCCTTATTAATATTTGGTATGTAATCTATAATAAAAAAACAGAGAAACAAAATATTAAAGTGGATTAAATATCTTTTGTTTTTCCATTTTGGATTAGGGGCCAAGATATGAAAAATTTCCATAGACCCCCATTTATTTTTTTAGAAAGTTCTATTACTACACTTTAGATTTTTCAAAAACTCAATGTTAGTGTGCTCAAAAAAATTAATGACTTGATATTTAATAACCAAATGTTAGATGCAACACATGGATGAGTGATGCTCTTGCTGGAGAAACATTTGTTTGGGCTATTCTAATAACTATATGAAAAAAAAAAAAGTAAAATTTTTAAAATTGAGTTATAAATGTGAATTTTTACTATCGTATCATATGATACTATTAGGGGTAATCCGTGGTTGAAGGCACGNTAAATGTGAATTTTTACTATCGTATCATATGATACTATTAGGGGTAATCCGTGGTTGAAGGCACGGGAGTGAAGATTCGAGAGAGAGAGAGAGAGAGAGAATGAAGAGTGAGGAGGAAAATGTACAATTTAATGTGAATTGTTTTGAGAAGGATATTGGTGGCAGTTGGATGAGCCTATTTGAGACGTCAAATGGTCTTATTGAAGTATGTCATATTTTATATTATAGATAATTTAAGAGGATAATTTATTTATAGTCATAAAGTTATATTGAATGTTAACTTATAAATAAGGAAAAAAGAGGACGGTGACATTGTCACAAACTAATTTTGAAGAAAATACTATTTAAACTTAATTTATTAGTTTAATATATTATAGTCATTGAATTGATAACAAGTCTCAACTAATAATGGGGTCACTATCAATTTAATAATAGAAAATGATTTGGTCAACAAATTATGTCTAAATAACATTATTCTAATTTTTATGGTACAAGCCAAATTTTGGGTTCTATGACCCAAAATAATTTTTACGATGATATTATATAAAATTAATTTTAATAAATTTTTTATACATTGAAATTTGTCATAAAGTATAAGAGTTAAATATTTTCATTGGACAATTTTTTTTGCCCAAATCATCAATTTAGCCCCTTCTTTAAGATAAAACATTGGTTTCATCCTTACTTGAACAACTCATTCTTTTTTCCTTTTGGATTATTGTGCGAGGCTTTGGAAAATTAGTTTTTAATACCGTATCTTTTCTGTTCGTTATTCGTACTAAAAAACGTGAATTTTTTAATATTTATTATTTGTAGGATTAATGGTTACAAATAACTCAAAATTTAGATATCTACGGCTAAGAATTATTTTTCAATGTTATATTAAAAAATATATGTTGGTGACTATATTTTGGAGAGACCGACGAACGAGTCAAGAGCATCAGTCAGTCTTCTCCGGTCAATTTCATACAAACACCAAAAAAACAAAAAAAAACACGTTTTGTGGGCCAAATTTGGATTTTACCGAATCATTTCTTGTCTTTTATTCTTATTCCATTGCCTAGTGCGTAAAGAATTTAGGGGCTGTTTAATAAGGGGATACGGAAAATTTTGGTAAGATGGAATTCGGAAAAATAGTAAAAATTTAATATTTGAATCGAAAATTCAATTCAAATATTAAACATATTATCATGAGTTTTATCAATCCTAAGGGGGTTGGGTTTGGGAAGATGGGTAAAACGGTTAAGGATGTAAAAGATAATTATATACCTTAAAATGAGTATAAATTGAATTAATCAAGGATAAAATAGTTATTTATAAGACAAATAATTATTAATAATTATGATAAATTCTTGAGTTTTACATGTGTATGTGTTACAAACTAAACATGGGTATGAATCGGATTTAATGTTGAATCCTATCTTTATAAAAAATTATTTGAGTTTAAAAGAGTTTGGAGAAGTCAATTCAAATCCTCCCCAAAAATTCATCCAAATAAACCCTTATGCTCCGTTTGGTATGATGAAAAAATGGAATGATAAAAAATTTGAAGGGCGGAAAGTTTGAGGGATAAATAAAATATCATGTATGGTAAAAAAAGAAAATAGGAATGATGGAAAAGTTGATGAATTAATTTTCCTTCCAATTCACCAAAATCAATCCCTTCAAAATCGAAACGAAAATGGATGAAACGTTAATTATTTATGTTGAGATGTATCTTATTTATTTATATATCTTTTAATATATACATATATTACGTATACATTAATTTCATATAAAAATATAATGATAAATATATGTGTGTGTGTGTGTGTGTATATATATATATATATTAAAAAAATTAAAATAAATATTTTTTTTCATCTTAACTATGAGTGAAAATTTTTGACTTAACACAATAACACGACTCGAACTTGACACGAATTTGATTATAACTCTACACAAACTTAAAAATGACCTAACATGCGAATAAGAAATATAAAAAACTTATATTCAGTTCAATCAATCAAACTCAAAATTGACACCATCAACCCGTTTATTTAAAAATAAACACTTTATCTATTTTTTTTGTTTGTATGGTAACACAAAATTAACACGAAACTAATATATTTAACTTGTATTATAGACATAAAACATTAATTATTTGTAATTATTTATTAAACACTAACATAATCATTATATAAAAAATATATTTTTACTTATTATTATTATATTTATTTAAGTTAACTTTTAGTTTGTAGAAAAATATTAACATATATTCAATTAAGTGAAAATAGAATGTTAGCGTTAAATTTTTTATTTAAACTTTATGTAAGTCAACACAAATACGAACACGAACACAAACACGAACACGATACGAAAATAAACAGGTCCACTTGAAACGTAACTCTACACGACACAATTAATTAAATGAGTTGACTTAAGTTTGACTAATATTCGCCACAAACTCGTAATGATTTAACACGAATCTGACATAATACGACTTAATTGTCACCCCTAATTTTTAACCAGTACCAAAAAAAAAAAAAAATCAATCAACTAAACACAAAGGAAGGAAAGTGTTTGACTAATATTTGACACAAACTTGTAATGAACATAAAAGAAAAAAAGTGTATCATTCTTATTTTTTTTTCTTAAAAAATAAAAAATATATCCCTCATATTTTCCATCTATCCTTCCTATCAAACAAAGGATTAGAGTTCCAAGACTTATGATCCTATAATTTAATGTANTGATGAGTTTTATCAATCCTAAGGGGGTTGGGTTTGGGAAGATGGATAAAACGGTTAAGGATGTAAAAGATAATTATATACCTTAAAATGAGTATGAATTGAATTAATCAAGGATAAAGTAGTTATTTATAAAACAAATAATTATTAATAATTATGATATATTCGTGAGTTTTACATGTGTATGTGTTGCAAACTAAACATGAGTATGAACCGGATTTAATGTTGAATCCTATCTTTATAAAAAATTATTTGAGTTTACAAGAGTTTGGAGAAGTCAATTCAAATCCTCCCCAAAAATTCATCCAAATAAACCCTNTGTCAAAGTTATAACACTTTAAATTGTTCTTTTATTTGTAAGTTTAACGATAAGTCCTGGTCGGCCGGCGGTAGACATATACCATTAAGGTGCTTCCTAGGGCACTCAAACAAAAACAAATATTTAAGCGGATCAGAATGACTCTTTCAGGATTGCACAAGTCTTAAATATATTTTTTGGGTCCTCAATTTCAACTTTGTTTTTGTTTTGCCCCATTGTTTGTATTACCCATAAAACTTTTATTATTTCTTAGTATATTAATTAATTGTCTATCACCTAGTNTGAAAAATTGGAAGGACAGAAAGTTTGAGGGATAAATAAAATATCATGTATGGTAAAGAAGGAAAATAAGAATGATGGAAAAGTAGATGGATTAATTTTCCTTTCAATTCACCAAAATCAATCCCTTCAAAATCGAAACGAAAATGGATGAAACGTTAATTATTTATGTTGAGATGTATCTTATTTATTTATATATCTTTTAATATATACATATATTACGTATACATTAATTTCATATAAAAATATAATGATAAATATATGTGTGTGTGTGTGTATATATATATATATTNGGTAGGACCCCTATCTATATATATAACTAAAAAGAAAAAAATACAAGGGAATATGACATAGAGTCAAGCCTCCAAAAATACAAAATAGGAGTTATTCTATGAAATTCAATGCACACAAATTCCTACTTACAGTCGTTCCAAATGAATTAAAATTCTATTTTTCTTTCTCTAAATACTCAAAAATTAGTGTGATTAATTACATTGGGCATCTGAATTCAATGTAAATAAATAGAGTTTTTATACAAACTCAAATAATATAAATCTGGTGTTGGGCCATCCTTGCCTACACGGGCAGCCTAGTAATGTGCGGTTAGCTTAGAGGAAATTATAAACTCGGATGCGTTGTGTTCGACTCTCCCATGTGATTTAAGTTTAATCGATACTTTTTAATACCATGTGATTATATTTATTCGAAACTTATTCTTTTCTTGGGATTCACCAAAAATAAAATAGAATTATAGGGCTCTTATATGTGATTTTTTATATAGTTCCTCATGGTATATCTTGGAGTGAAATGAAATTTGTACCTCAAGAAGGAATATGAATGTCTACCAACTCTTTTCTCTTCTAATTTTCTTTCTGCTACACCCACAGCTTCTTCACTCAGCTGAAGGAAAGACCAAAGCCCAATCTAGCTGTCCAGAGTCCTTCCCATGTGGACACCTTGGTCTAATGAAGTTCCCATTCTCCAATTTCTCCAGACCCCATTGTGGGTTGTTCTTGTTAAACTGTGATGTACCATCACCACAAATCCAAGTGGTAAAGCAAGAACAATGGTATAAAATAAAGAACATTTCGCGTCCCAACGCCTTTGAAATTCATGACAAAGTTTTCCAGAACCACTTAGATTACCCTGGCTGCGATTCCTTCAGTGACATAACTCCTCCCAACTCTCCGATCATTTCCTTCACTCTCTTTCCCAATCTTACCTTGTACAAATGTATCAACGGGCCTCACGTTCAAATTGATCAATATTTCAATGGTTATTACAGTTACAAGAGCTGTGGAGGCTACAGTTTCTATTATAGATATTCAGAAGATAATCAGAGTATCACTCTTGGCAGTTTTCCACCAGACTGTTCGATTATTCACCTCCCAGTTTAACCTTCGAACACAGCAGAAGATTCGAAAGACTTGTTCAAACTGTTGTCTGCTAATTTCTACCTCGAATTTCAGGTGTCTAAGGAGTGTTCTGATTGTCACCTTAGAGGAGGACAGTGTCAAGTTGACAGCACAAACAGGTTCCATTGTGCTATCACAAGAAAAGGTGACCCATACGTTGTATTTTATGTTCTTCTCCTATATTTCTCAGCATATAATTAAGGTTCAAATCTTTGTATACGATCACCATAAAATATACACCGCCATAGCCTATTGAGCATTTAATCTGTGAACATAGATACAATGTGCCAAATTACGCATATCTTTGTAGTATTTTATCGTCCGTTTCCTCTTTTCAAGTTCTCTAGTTCCGGTTTTGATACGTGCATGCACCCATGTTTATTGAATCTTTTTGATTAGCTCTGTCTAATGTTTTAGTCTCCCCAACATGCCAATTGACAGAAGGAGAACAGCATATCATCTGGAATCAATTTCCATTTGATGGTGGTTTTCTATCTTTATTCTCTAAATGTTGTGCTTTCAAACTTATTTCTCAAACTACGATTGTTTCTATAGAGTTATGATTTATACTCGTGTTTCAATGTGAAAGTGTATTTGCAAAGTATTCTTTCAGCAGAAAACTGTAAAAAGCACATTCACATGAAAATGGGTGTAAACACGCTTTCATTGAAACAATGGTAATTTGAAGGAAATAAGATGGAAATCATAATAGAGAAGGAATTAGGTTGACACATCAATGTAATGTGGGGGGAAAAAACTGATATTTACTGCTCATAGTTGTTCTAATAGCTAGTGGTTGTGTTGCAGAAATTCCAACAGACATGGTNTTTGGGGGAAAAAAACTGATATTTACTGCTCATAGTTGTTCTAATAACTAGTGGTTGTGTTGCAGAAATTCCAACAGACCTGGTCATAACAGCTACAGTAGGTAATGTGTTTGTTAGCTATTCTTTGTGTGCGTGTGTGTTTTTTTTTCCAAGTGAGTAAATATTGGGCGTAACGGTTGTACCATGTCATTATTGTTGACATGGTATAACCATCCAATAATAAAATAACAAAAAAGATAGAATAGGGCCTACTTTCTACTTTCTATCATGGAGATGATTTTGTATTACATGGCAGGATGACTATTAATTTTAGTGGAGCCCAATTGCTGACTTATGAATCTATTAGTGGATGGTTATACCACGTGACAGTACTAACATGCACCCAATACTTTTTCATAGTCAAGGGACTCCCCGGAAAGAAAAAAATATTTGATGTAATAGTTATACCATGTCATCATGAAATATAGTATAATCGTCTAATAACAAAATAACAAGTAGGCAAGTGATCCTATATAATTAAATAATTATTCATCCATGTCATGCAATAACTATCAATGTGGGATTCACTTGTTATCTTATCGTTGGACGGTTACACTATGTCAACGTGATGACATGGTGTAACTATTACACCTAATATTTGCTAGGAAGGAAGGGGGCGGTGTGTAATTGCAGGTACCGAAAGCGTATTTCGAAAGATTTTAAGGATGAGTGGCATTCTACCCTCCAAAAGATTTTCAAGTTTTTGTTTAGACCCCCACAAAGATTAAAATTCCAAATTGCACCATGTATTATTTTCTTAAATGTCTCAAATTTTTGTGTTTGTTGACATTCTACATGCCACCTGCCACAACGTGATCGCATAAAATTAATTTTTCATGGGATAAAACGAAACTAGTATTTACAATTTCATTGACAAATGGATTCTGCACTTCATAACTTAACTTCATTTTCTCCTATCATTGACTGCGGTTATTTTTGCTGCTGGAATTGTCGTTTTAGTAGCTACATTCTTCTGCTTCAGAAGGAAATTCGCACGAGGTAAAATTATGCTCTTATGGAGGAAGAAAACAGAGACCTGCAAAAATGTCGAAACCTTTTTAAAGAATTATGGATCCATGGCTCCAAAAAGGTTCTGTTTTTCGGATGTTAAGAAGATGACCAACTCCTTCACAGTTAAACTAGGCCAAGGAGGGTATGGTTGTGTGTACAAAGGAAAGTTACGTGATGGAAGGTTGGTGGCAGTAAAGGTTTTAAGTGAATCAAAAGGTTGTGGAGAAGAATTCATAAATGAGGTTGGAAGTATTAGTAGGACTTCCCATGTTAACATTGTAACTCTCCTAGGATTTTGTTTCGAGGGCCTCCAACGAGCTCTTATTTATGAGTTCATGCCTAATGGATCGCTTGAGAAGTTCATATTTGATGAAAATTCTTCAAAAGATCATCAATTGGGGTTGGAAAAAATGTACCAAATTGCAATAGGAGTTGCTAGAGGATTAGAGTACTTACATCAGGGGTGTAACATTCGAATCGTGCATTTTGATATAAAGCCTCATAACATTCTTCTGGATGAAGATTTCTGTCCAAAGATCTCTGATTTTGGGCTTGCTAAAATATGCACCAGGAAAGAGAGCATTGTATCTATGTTGATTGCTAGAGGAACAATCGGGTACATTGCTCCAGAAGTATTTTGCAGAAACTTTGGGGGAGTCTCTCATAAATCTGATGTTTATAGTTATGGAATGATGGTTCTGGAAATGGTGGGAGGGAGAAAAAAAAATCAAGTTGAGGTTGATAAAACAAGTGAAATATACTTTCCACATTGGATATACAAAAAACTTGAACAAGATGAAGAACTTGGATTGGATGGGATTAGGAATGATGAGGAAGGTATAATTTCAAGGAAGATGACAATANTATTGTGCTAGAATTTGTTTAACTCGTACCCAACTTATTTATTATAATATATAGTCAGATTCATATCGTGTCGAGTTCGTATCGCGAGAGAGTTAAGTTAAATTCTTGGTAATTACTCTCACTTTTAACTAGTAATAATGCAATATGTGCATTGCACATGAATAATTTTCAAATACAAAATATTAATAAAAAAATAATAGGTATATGTGTACCTACATTAAATATTATCTCAAAATTTTTAAAATTATATTTTTATCACTCTCATTATACTATAATATTCAAAAAATATTATTTGTTCCCAGTGATTCGTTCTTCTCATTATAAGAAAAAAATATAAAAATAATTCACTTGATTAGGTTTCAATTTATAATTCACTTGATTAGGTTTCAATTTATAATTCACTGAATAAAATAACAACAATTGTCAATATTCTAATCAATGTTTACTATAATTAGAAATTAGTAAGGTCAATAAGGATAAAATATAGGGTGAATAACACTTTGAATCTCTAATATATGAATTTTGTTAATTTGGTTCATACAATATCTAATTCTTGTTTAAATGATTCTTAACCAAATGATTCATTTCAAGTTTTTTGTCGGAAGTAATCACTTATCATTCTGTCAGATAGTATCACATGAATAACATGTGATCTCCTCTGTCAAAAACTTAACAGATTATCTGTGTCCATATCATTTAAACATTAACTAAATACTTTAGAAACTAAATTGACACAATGAAACTCAAACTGCTAAAACAAGCATATTTCAGGGACTAACAATGCTATTAACCCTAAAATATAATATACTACTCTAAAATATATATTTTGAAAGAATATTAAAATTCTAAAATTTAAATTTTACTTAAAAACATATTATAATTTAAACTCTTAACAAAACATGAAAAGTTTATTGTGATTAAAGAATTATGTTGATTTAACATAAATTATTTTTAAAAAAATACATAAAATATTATGTTTTATCTTAAAAATGAAATGGTTGAAATTTTGGATTAAAAAAAATACACATATATAAGTATAATGTTATCTTTATATTTGAAATGAGTAATGTTACAATGATGAAGTTTTTGAAATTTTTTTGAACGTTTTATTGAAAACTATAGTGATGCATACATTTTTTTAAGAGTAATATATAGTTAATTAAAAAAATTTATAGATACTGATATTTATACACAGTGAATAGAAAATTAAAAAAGATGTAAAGAGTAATTTGGAGATTTAAACACATAAGTATAGGATAGTAATTTAGATATTCAACTACATAAGAATTGTGTGGTGTTTAAAATTCTTTATAAGAGTAATATAGTAAATCAAAAATTTTCCATTCTAAGATACTTTTGTTAGTAATATAGATATAGATTATTAATAATATAGATGGATATAAACATAATGTTTTTTTTTTTGAAAAAAATAATGATCTATTGATAAACTTTTGAACCAATTATAAAAAACTATAATGATGCATATATTTTAAAAGTTGTGTAGTCACTTAATTTTTTTTTATAGATATTGATATTTATGCAAAGATAATATAAAATTAAAAGAGATGTTAGAAGATAATTTGAATATTTAAATACATAAAGCTGTGATTGTAATTTAGATATTTAACTACAAAAAGATAATAGGGTATTTAAAATTTTTTATGAGGGTAAAATAGTAAATCAATTTTTTTTTGCTTAAAGTACTATTATATTTGAAGATTTAAACATACATATGTAAATATGTAGCCTCATATGGCTAACAATCAAAATTTACAAGCTTTTGGGACTTTGTTTCTTTCAATTCAATTTTGGTGCACTGACATGTGCTTCGTACAAATCTATTGGACTTGCAACCTAGAGAGTCCGGTTAAAACGGTACCAATGGATTGCCGGTAACGTATGCAAGATTGTGGCATAATTTTAAGCAACCCCATACTGTAAGCATCAGAGTTCTGTTTACAGCAGTATTGGAGGTGCAGAGTCTTCAGTGGCAGGAAGAATGCATCATCCAACCTTATCTACGATTCCCATCTTTGGTTTTTTCCCAGTGAAAGCGCTGTGAAACCCACAGTTATAGACCTTATTGATCTCTGATTCAACATTTTGCAGTATTTGGGATCATCTGATAGTCCCTCGTGGCCTATCCATTGTAGCATTCCATGGTACGTTGGAAAGAACCGCCTCTGAATTGCATTGTATAAAAAGTAAGGGATCAACGCTGAAATCACCACGAAGAATGTGACAACCCAGAAAGAAGGTGCCAGGGCAAGGCCTTCAACAAAGACTTTATATGCAGTGGTGGAAATTTTTGGAGGCATGGCTCCATATGCCAAGAGGAAAAGATACCAGAAACCAATTCCACCCCAAATGCAGATATGTTGGACTACGTTCAAGTAGCCAACAGCAAGTGCCATCTGGCAGTTCACAACCCAAAGAAGACATGTATACATTGTTGCCCCCAGGATTTGAAATTCAGCAATTTTCCCATCCTTATTGAATGCCTGGGGATCTAGTGCGTTTGTGCATAGGAAGAAGATAATGATAGCACTGCAAAGCCCATTGAACATCCAGCCAATTATCCGACGCCAGCTGAAAAGGACATTCTGCACACCCTCTTGGTACAGTAGAGGGAACTGCCATGTGAAGACATAGAATGAGGAACAATCAAAACAAGTATCAAATAGATCACTCGAACCATGTCTGGTAAGTCTTTAAAGCCATCATCACTAAAGAAGTGTGAAAGGTCAATCCCACATCGGAACATTGGTGGGAAATAAGAGGACTGATGTACATCAGAACAGTCATAAAGAGAAGTAGGTTTAGGTACTTCTTCAGTTCTTACCAGTGGAGAAGACTTTTTAACTTTTTGTAGTATCCTAAACTGAAACCAAGAAACCCTGGTCATAATTATGTGTGGTCTGGTACCCACATCTTTTTTTCACGATTTGGCTGGATAGGATTTCAAATATAGAAGAAAATTTAATTTTAATGACAGGACAATTTAGGCAGTTCTACAAGTTGTAATCTAACAGCGAACGAAAAAATATTAATATGGCCAGAAAGTGGTTTGTTGTCGATAGGATACTCCTTTGTAACAGAAGAGTCTTGAGATCATACTTCTGAGAAACAGCATAAATGGACATGGCCCAAATTTAAAAATAGAAGTTGTAGTAGATAAAAGGCATACCTTGAGACAAAATCGCGCAGAAACATCCTGGTCAAAAATCCCTAGAGCAATCACCGGAAGAGACGTGAAGACGACATTGTAAAGGGATAAAAACCAATCATTGTATGCAGGTTTCGCAGAGAATGATGTATGTGCCTCGTATAAGAAGACAGTGAAACCAAAAGTCATATTCTTATAGAAGAAGTAGCATATCTGCCATAGAAGAAGGAANCGACATTGTAAAGGGATAAAAACCAATCATTGTATGCAGGTTTCGCAGAGAATGATGTATGTGCCTCGTATAAGAAGACAGTAAAACCAAAAGTCATATTCTTATAGAAGAAGTAGCATATCTGCCATAGAAGAAGGAATATGTCAGTAACTATCATATGAAGGTTTTGAGAACTAATTGAAGCACATACATAATTCATAAAAAACTTATACCCAAACACACAACTTCAAAAAGAATTGTATTTTGTCGTTGTCCTTCAGTCTCAACACAAGGATTGAGATTTTTTTTTTTTTTGGTTGGGGGGGGTGGGGAATGTGTATATCTGACCTTTCCCAAATCCTACAGTGGCAAGAATCTTGTGCACTGGACTGGACTGGGGAAAGCCAAATACCTTGAATTGTAAGTAAATCCAATAGTATGAGAATCATTACCATTGATGAGATCCTTCTGTAACACCAATGTCCATGGACCAAAAGCAATCGGTCCAAAAAACGGAACTGTGCAATTGCTATATCACTTGACATGACAGCCTGCAATTTATGAAACACAAACAGTTAAGAAGATATAAAGTAAAAGAAAACCCAAGATAAGAATGTTTAAGCACTAGTTGGATAATCCTGCGGGTTTAACACCTGCATTCCTTCGACCCCACTGATTCCGATCCCAATATCAGCTTCTTGAAGCATTCCCACATCATTGGCTCCATCACCAATTGCTAATGTCGTCTTCCTGGTCCCAGCTTTAACTAGTCTGGTAACCTGCATTTTAGGTAGCTCTTTTGTGAAACTACTACTTTTTAAAGCAGAGAAATTGACAAGGTTTTGAAGAAGGAGAACGTGGAAAAAACGGAAGGAGACCTACTTCAAGGCGGAGTAGGGGCCAGTCAAAACTCACCAGTGCCTTCTGTTTTGGCGAGGAGCGGCAGCAAATAACAGATGCACAGCCAAGTGCAAGTTCTAAAAACAATTTTTTCATGTCATCATCCAGAGCATATTGAAGTGATTTCCCATCGATTATCAAAGCAAATGCCTTAGAGCTTGATGCAGTAAACTGAGCCTTCCCTTCACTTATCTGCCTGAAGACACTTTCCTTTGAAGCCTAGAACAGCAGAAAACAATATTCCATCAACCAGTGTAATCTTATACTGGTCAACGCTTGACAATTATATAGAAAACAAGTTGACCCATGTCTGACATGAGAAGCATAATGCCAACGGGACATCAGCTTCATGGTATTCAAAGTCATGGCAAACAAAATTAATTTGTTAACTAATGTTTCAGTTGAACAAAGTACAAAGATTAAAAGTTACTTTAAAAACGGGAAAAAAAAAATTGCCTTGTCTCAGATAAGAGCTGACATTGGGTTCATGCAAAAACAAGCGATCAGTGACTGCCTATCTTAGAAAGATCACAAAAACTGCTGGATAAGGTGCCAACAACTATTGCGATTTCAACAAAAGTGACGACCTTTGATGAAAAGGTAAACACCAGTAGCTGATGTTGCCTATTATAATTGCATAACACATCCCAAATAAAATTTGAATTGACTTTAACTATGAGAGTTCTTCTCCAAAATGTTGGAACTGAAAAGCAAGCAATTTGAGTAACTTAGGAAGACCAGATTCCAGAAGACTCTTTCCCCAGCCCCAAGTTGATATCTAGGTGGACGGATCGAGTCAAAAATTAAGAAAGTAGCATAGAAATGACTTTTGTTCCCCTTTATGCCCCTATGGGCCAGCATATGTTATAGAGCATGAAGGGCCAGGAGTGAACACCAAGCTGAGATGAGAGCTGAACATTAAGATTTTTCAAGTTTTTGTTGACCGCTCTCAAGGGATTTCTGAATGCGGCTAGAGCTCGGATTGAGCTCAACACCTTGAGGTTGAAGTCGGCTCAACAATGTAACTGATCCTGTGAACAGTTTTGCTGGTTGAATAATGTGATAGCTTTCAGAGACTGGGCAAATTAGTACTGGCCACTGATCTACTTGTAAAGTATCTGCAGTTTTATTTTCACATGAAGTAGTAAACATTCCATGCACAGGTAGAGGTGGAGTAAGACAAATAAGACAATGGTCCTGTCAAGTTATGTCAGACATCATTTCGGAGCATGCATTTCCTTGTCTTATTAAAGTTGTGAATATCACTATTACAACTTAACCACTATGAATGGGGTATGAATTATGTCTTTAACGAACCTCATTTAGCCGAACCAATTTGAACACAAAGGATGATCAAACTCAGCAAGTTTAGATAAATGAACTTAGGTTAGCATTCAAGTTTGGCTTGGATACAATAATGTACGAGCTTGAAACAAGCCAAACTCAAGTGGCTCAGTTTGTTTTTTAGTTTATACCTCTTTTGCTACTCAATTTTCCTTTTCCCCCTTCCAAAGTTGAAAGAAAATATTATTTTCCTAATCAATTGTTCACTTTCCTGAATACACCATCTAATTGCTGAGAAACAATTCAAAGAGCCAGTAAGTAAAACTGCCACTCCAATCCCGACAAAAGATTTTACAAGTGCATTGGCATTAAACAGGAGAGTCCTATGTATTAATAATTATTTTTTCGGTGCACACAAAACCAGTTCAAATGAATAAAGAACCAAGGAAAAGGAAAAATATCACCGAGAATAAGAACAAGTAGATCGACCTACTTCTTTTGGGAATCCTACAGAGGCCACTTGTTCCACGAAGAAGATGCAATGTGATTCAAGTAGAAGGAAATTATATTTTCTTCAAGGAGTAATGCTCATGTAGCAAGAAAGCAACTTTATTATTGACAATCCAATGCAAACACGAGACCCCAGAAAGAGCGCAAGCACATAATGGGTGACCAGCCCAAAGAGGAAGAAGAAGAAGAGTATTTATTTCATATGTTCCAAGTGAATAATGCCATTCCATCATCATTCAATTCCGTCATTATAGTGTTGATGTCACTCTTAGCAAGTTATTTCCCAAATAGCATGATTTCCTAAACTGCTTGAAAGCACAAAACAGGATATTTACCTTAGCAATGGCATCCTTTTCTCCCACTTTCTCCAGCACTTTGATTTCTGGTGTCTCCAAGTTTATTATTATCTGATTCATTCCTTGTCTAAGCAAACTACATGCAAAACTGCAGAAGGATATTAAATTTTGAGTCAGAATTATTCAGTCAAGTAAATCTAACCTCATGCACTTTATGTAAAAAGTAGTACCCAATATTAATGGCAGTCTCCATCTTATCTCCAGTCAATACCCATAATTTTATTCCCGCCTGGGCAAGCTTGTCAATGCACTCAGGGACCTACTAGGCAAAGCAGGAAAAAAGTTATAATCCAACTCCAAATTATCACAAGTAGGAAAGGTTCACGCTTTTGTGACTCTTCATCCCAAAACATTCCAACTCACCCCATGTTGTAGTTTGTCCTCGACCGCCGTTGCACCAAGAAGAATCAAATCCTTCTCAATCATGTCAGCCACTTCATCAATCCTCGTCTCCCTATCAGCACTTACTGAGTTCTTGGCCTCTGTGAATTTCTCATTGAACTCCTTGTATCTTTCCTCATTGAGTTCACTGTAAGCAAGTATCAGGGTCCTCAAGCCAGCATCAGCATACTCATTCACATGTCCCCTAGTTTCCTCTTCAAATTTCCTTCCATTTTTTCCAAGCCGTTGAAACATAACACTGCAGACAACATTGGGTGGAAAATTTTAAGTAGTGGTAAAGAGCCACTGATCCATGGGAGGTTAAGGGTAATAAAAGCTACAAATTTACCAACCTGTCAGCACCTTTAGAGAGCAGAAATAGCTTTCCCTCTTCATCTCTTATTATCACAGACATCCTCTTTCTTGTGCTGTTAAATTCTAACACATTCAAAAGTTTATACGACCTGCATGAAGTGGAGGAATTATTTAACGTTAACAAACCCAGCTTGTTCATACCTTCAGTTAGAGAAACCCAAATCAATGCCACCCATCCATGCGTCTACATGTTTATGAATGTGTGTGTGTATACACAACATATACACAAATCGTGGATGTAATGCACCAAGTTCACCATAAAGGCATCATAACAGTGTTTAATATTTGCCATGCCCACCCCTTGGGGACTTTCATGGACATTGGAACTCCAAAATGGAAGTGTCAGCATGGTTTTTATAGTCAACTACTTCAACAGAACCTCTTGTTCATTAGATGAAGGTTTAAGAAAAAAGACACAAAGCGCACATGAAAACAACCACCCCAAGAGCAACCAAAGTATAAGAATCACAGAGGAAAGTTAAGAAGCAGTTTTCTTACAACTCTACCGATCAGTTATCCTTTTAAGCATGAGAAAAAATAAATAATTCTTGGGTATACTCTGTATCAACCTAATGTGCCTATTCAGATATCGGCATAAAATGGAACTTGTAGACTGTTCGTTGAGATGAGTTCACATGTATGCAAGTGGCAGCCAACAAGTAAGCATAGGCTTCTTCTTTAAATAAGGATCAAAACAATATTCACTGTGGACAAATAGTTCTCAGTACTGGCCTTTCTAGTTTTTTTCCAGAAATAGGATCCAACTCATTGACTGAGATGTTTGTTTGTGTCCTTTTGAAGAATTCAAAGCCAAGTTCTCTTGCTGCAATCACAAAAGCTGCCTCATCTGGTGACTCAGCTTCATACGATACCTTCCCTGTACCTTCATCAATTTCAGGTAGGGCTGTATGACAGATTGCCAACAAACGGAAGAATTTCTGCAGGACATCTGAATGGGGCTCCATAACCCATTTCCCTCCCATAACTCTATCATCCTTAAAATTGAAACCTTTGATGAGTGAATTTGTATTATTCTCAGCAAAATCCTCAGCACCGTCCCCACCATTTCCCATTAACAGAGATCCATTTCTTTTTGCTCCTGCCTTTTCAACTTCTGTGACACTACATCCATAAGCTGTCCCAGCCACAGAGCACTTTATGAATTCCATGGAATTGCAAGTCAATGTACCCGTCTTGTCAGAAAGTATTGTGTCCACTTGACCTAGTTCCTCATTTAAATTAGAGGTGCGGGCACGTGCTGGTTTGTCAGTTTCCTCATAGTACATATGAGGATCTTGATTGATGAAGATGTTCTGAATAACTTTGACAATTTCTATGGACATATACAAGGAGATTGGGATCAGATAACTATATAACAGCAGGGCGGTCAGGAAGTGATATATTGCAGCCATTGGGGCTCTTTTGGGATCAAAGAAAACTTTAGCACTGTCGGGTCTTAAATACCACCTTTTCATCCTACCACCATCTAGGTCATCTCTAGTCACAATACCGAAGTAAATTGATCCAACAAAAGCCATCATAAACAAGATGCCAAATAATAAGTATATAATTTTATCCATTTTCCTCTCGATTTTGCTTCTCTTTGAAGGGGGATCAGTGGAATTCTGAATTACCTTTGTGTCATGACCAGTGAAGATAACAGCCCCATATATGTATTCCGTATTCCGGAGTTTAGAGTCTCTAAGGAGAAGTTGTTGAGGAGAGAGGGGATGCTGTTGTTCTTCAAATTCCATACTTCCAACAAAAGAATACAAATTTGCATTTGGATCTTCACATTTAACAACAGCTCTAAAATCCCGGAAGTTAGAGTCCTCATTTAAGAATGAAGATGCTTCCACTGCCTGCTTTAGTTTCAAATTAGTTTCCCCATCAAGGTTCATGGTCTCGACATAGCAAATAGCATCCTCATAACTGGAAGAAAGCAAAAGAAGGTCTGCTGGAAAAAATTCATCCTTCTCCACCTTCACTATGTCACCCACTCTCAGATTTCTCCATTCAGAATTGTCAAAAACTCCATTGCCACAATGAACTTTAACCTTTCTACTGTTCACCTCAATGTCCTACAAAATATCCACGTGCTAAATCATGAAGCTGAATGGAAGAACAAAGAAACAAATACATTACTAGGAGTTTCTTTCTAAAATTCCTTAATAAAACTGTAAGAGCAAGTGTTGCCAAAATTGTCTACCCGAACAAAAAATACGAAGTTCCAGCAATTCTACGTATTACAGAAACATTAATATCAATCATTAACATTTATTCCAATTTTTCGATAACTTCCAATTATCAGCTGACTTGGCAACCCAATCTGGTCCAAAGGTAAGGGCTCCATAAAACTCAAATAAACCAAAGCCACTTTCCTGAGTTAGACTGTACACATCAAACCAAAAACCAAATTATAGGTTGATCATAATGCCAAGTCTTCAATCAAATGAGTCAAAGTTCCCCTGATTATATGACATGAACCATTTCTGTGGTGTGGTCCAAACTTCAGTTGCCCTTTAGATCTATCAGAGAATAAATTATGGCACAAACGTTACATTGAAAAGCCAATAAGAATTGAGCTGTATCTCAGAAAGCATTTCAAGGAATTCAATTATCCTACAAACTTTTATTTCACTTGAGCCTTGCTCCAGCAATTTTGGTATCTGTTGACTGATTATTAAGTTTCCAAAACAATCCCCAGGTTATAAATTAGGCAAATTAAAGTCAATTTGAGCTAAGAAGAATTAACCGTCTGCTGCAACCAGGATTGCTTAAAATCTACGTCTCCATATAGGAACCATAATGAAAAATCAAGAACTAGTTTAAGCATCAATAAATGGACATAATACCTGCAGTTTTCGTTGCCAGTCTTCAATTCCTTCCTTCACCATTGTTGCCCCTAGAACAACAATGAGAGGGAGAATAGCACTGACAGCAGTGTAAGGAGCAAGTGGTGTGAAGGCCAGGGAGCCAATGACAAGGAAATAAAAATTGGCCACCCTTCTGAACTGCTCAAACAAAGACTTGGGCAAGAATGATGCAGCAGTATACTTTGTAGTCCTCACATAATTGCCTGCATAATTTCGAGTACTGGCCTCAAAACTACTTGATTCATTGCAATAAACTACCCTTGAAAATCCTGGTCCACCAATCTGTGAATGGTCATCTTTGAAACCTCCTCTCACACGCCTGAATGCATAGAGCTTGCTGAAATGTAGCTTCCTTCGTCTACCAGTTTTCATTCTCTCTCCTACCCTTGTAAGAGCTCAAATACCTAACCAAGATTTTGAACCCCAAAACACAGGGAACCACCAACAAGACCAAAGATTTGGCTTTTCCAACCGCAAATTCTCAATGATAAATGCAGTTTCTTCAAAGAAAGCAAAACTCCTAAAAAACAAAAATGATTCACGCTCACGCAAGGAATAAATACATAGTTCTTCAAAGACAAAGAACCCAGAAAGAGGTATCCACCCAAAAGCAGTAAAGCCCAGTAATTGAATTTGGGAGGTAATAAAACCCAGAAAATTTAATTAAGAATAGAGGTTGAAGAAGAACTTCACCAAATAAGATTAGAGGAATAGAATCCAGACGGAGAGGCCACGAAGGATTGACATACCAGAAAACTGAAAGGCAACACAGATTCAGACAAATCAAGCGTTACCGTAAATCCAGAAATCCCAAGAAAAAAAACCTCAAATATAATCTTTGTCTGAAAAAACAAAGACCTAGAAACAAAATTTATGATTCAGCTAAATCCAAGCCATACCCATGAGATTCATGGGTATACAAGAATTGCAATAAAACAGCAAAGATGCGTGAAGAATTGTTCGGCCAAGGGTTGAACATTAACTTGGATCTCTCTCTCTGTCTTNGATTCAGCTAAATCCAAGCCATACCCATGAGATTCATGGGTATACAAGAATTGCAATAAAACAGCAAAGATGTGTGAAGAATTGTTCGGCCAAGGGTTGAACATTAACTTGGATCTCTCTCTCTGTCTTTCTCTCTCATGGATTGACTTCGCAAACATCCGATTGTTACGCTCGCATTGGCTGAAAACGATGTCGAGTTCAACCACTGCTCGAAAAACCAAAATGTATATAACACCAAATAATTATGATGACTTTCAATAATACTACGAGTGTGGAAATTGAATAACTCGATCGAAAAAAGTCCGAATAAGCAAGATTGGCTGCAGAAGATTGAAGGGTATGGTTCAGCTACAATGATTTCGCGGGAAAGCTTCAAGAGTGTGACGATTGCCTCTGATACAAAGGTAAATGTTCTAGTTTAGTCTTCTCAGAACTCGGAGATAGCCAGCCAGACAAAAACAGAACTCCATTATTTATCTTCTTTTTTTTATTGGCATTTACTAACTATTTATAGAACATCTATTTTCGTATACATATAAGAGCAAATTATACTCGGACCCCTGAAGTCTACTCTCATTTCACATTTTCTTCTAAACTATCAATCTATCACGTTGCACCCTAAATTATTGGTTTGACTTTTGCAGTGCATTAATTCTGGCTAATTTTTACAATAAATTAACTCTAAAAATAAAATTCCACCTCGACGAGGAAGGGAAGATCACACCTCTTAATGTTATGCAATTTTTAGGTTTAACTCTAATTTGTTGTGAAACATTAGATAGAAGACAATGGTTGGGTTAATGTAAAACTCAAACAAATAGTTCTAAGATACAATATGACAAAAGCAAATAGTTTAGGGGACAATGTAAATTTAGGAGCATAATTCAAAGAATCTAAATGTAATTCAATAATGGTATTGTTATATATCATTGATAGTGGACTTTATTTAATGCTAGACCCTATTAATAATCCAATGATCATAATCATTGAATTTTAAAATTATGTCCTAGTATTTTACCTAATAATTAATGTTTTTTAAACCTAAAAATTCTGACATAATTTATTGTCTTAATGGTGTGATTTTATTGTAATCATTAAATCAACGTCAAATTTTAAAGTTTGATGGGATCCACAATAAATTCAAAAATAATAGTAAATTAGCTAACAATTACGTTAATAAATTAAATTTAAATAACATTGCTCTTTATCTAATATATAAACTAATGTATGTACAAAGATACCACAAACAATTGGAATCAACAATAGTTCTAGTTATGATTACTTGTTTATGGTTGATCAAATTTGATAAACAAGAAGTCCTAACCCCGGGAGACTAGATCAATCAATTGACATCCATCTGTTACGTCTGTCATGATTAATNCTACAAATTAACTCTAAAAATAAAATTCTACCTCGACGAGGAAGGGAAGATCACACCTCTTAATGTTATGCAATTTTTAGGTTTAACTCTAATTTGTTGTGAAACATTAGATAGAAGACAATGGTTGGGTTAATGTAAAACTCAAACAAATAGTTCTAAGATACAATATGACAAAAGCAAATAGTTTAGGGGACAATGTAAATTTAGGAGCATAATTCAAAGAATCTAAATGTAATTCAATAATGGTATTGTTATATATCATTGATAGTGGACTTTATTTAATGCTAGACCCTATTAATAATCCAATGATCATAATCATTGAATTTTAAAATTATGTCCTAGTATTTTACCTAATAATTAATGTTTTTTAAACCTAAAAATTCTGACATAATTTATTGTCTTAATGGTGTGATTTTATTGTAATCATTAAATCAACGTCAAATTTTAAAGTTTGATGGGATCCACAATAAATTCAAAAATAATAGTAAATTAGCTAACAATTACGTTAATAAATTAAATTTAAATAACATTGCTCTTTATCTAATATATAAACTAATGTATGTACAAAGATACCACAAACAATTGGAATCAACAATAGTTCTAGTTATGATTACTTGTTTATGGTTGATCAAATTTGATAAACAAGAAGTCCTAACCCCGGGAGACTAGATCAATCAATTGACATCCATCTGTTACGTCTGTCATGATTAATTCATACAATCCTTTTTCTTTTAATATGATTCTACTTAGTGTATCTGTTGTTATATCATTATGAATTGTATTATTACTCTTGCTATAAACATTTACTTAATTCATACTAATTTCTTAAATTTTGATCACTCTTCGTAAAATTAAATCAGTTATTTATATTTAAATGAATTCCTCACTAATGTAACATGGGACGAGGTTAGAAGGGGAATAAAAGTGTATCTGGTGTGTCTAATACGATACCTAAGTTAATCGGTGTTTAAGCTGACAAGATTGAGAGCATTGTATAAACTAGGTTTGCCCTTGCATACCAAAGACTATAGCTACTTACATCTTAAGATGTAATGACATCACATTGTGAGTCACACTAAATCGATAGGTCATACACTTGTAGGAGTGAATGATTAGTGGCTATTGTCTAAGCCCAAGAGAGATAGGTGGTCACTCGAGATAAAACACTGTAAATGATTATCTTGCTCCGGGGATTAAATATTCAATAAAACCCATCTAGTAATTTAATGGTCTATGTCAAACCCTTAATGAGTCATGTCGAGCATTTAAGAGATGCACACGGCATACCATTCATTAAATAATGTCTTTTTTGATTAGTCTACTTCAATAAAAGGTCATNACAAAAGTGTATCTGGTGTGTCTAATACGATGCCTAAGTTAATCGGTGTTTAAGCTGACAAGATTGAGAGGATTGTATAAACTAGGTTTGCCCTTGCATGCCAAAGACTAAAGCTACTTGTATCTTAAGATGTAATGACATCACATTGTGAGTCTCACTAAATCGATAGGTCATACACTTGTAGGAGTGAATGATTAGTGGCTATTGTCTAAGCCCAAGAGAGATAGGTGGTCACTCGAGATAAAACGCTGTAAATGATTATCTTGCTCCGGGGATTAAATATTCAATAAAACCCATCTAGTAATTTAATGGTCTATGTCAAACCCTTAATGAGTCATGTCGAGCATTTAAGAGATGCACACGGCATACCATTCATTAAATAATGTCTTTTTTGATTAGTCTACTTCAATAAAAGGTCATATCTTCAACCAATTTTATTAGAATTTGGTGTGAGCCTCAATGTGGATGTGACAACACATCCAATCATTCCCTGTTACTCGTCGCATTAGTTGACCCACAAGCCTAATCGTCATTATTGCTCGGAATTAGGGTCAATCATTCCTCCAAGAGTTCTAAGAGTACCAAAGGAATCTGGATGAGCTCGATCTAATCTCCTCTGAGTATCGTATGCTCTTAGTGTTGGTCATTTTTTATCCACGTGTCATCTACAAACAACATTATAATTCAACTATTAGAGTAAATTTTCAAAGTTGTCTTTTTTAAGAAAAGGGGTACCTTTAACTATGTTAATAGTTTCACATTTCTTTAATAATTAAATATCCATTACAAATTTAACCAAAAAAAAAATTATTTTGTCTCCAAACAATATGTCTTGATTTATTTTGCCCCCAAGACACTTATAATTTCCATTTGAAAAATAACCAACGTTTATGTTTAGGATAATATGAAATTAATTGAAGTAGTTAAGACAAAATGTGAAAAATTCAATAATATAAGTGCAAAATAAAGTCGAATCACCGAATCCAAAGTTAAGAAAGTGACTGCATAATTTATCATAACATTTATAAAAACTCGTCCATCTAACGACGAATAAGCCGATATTCGCAAAATCAATCTCGATAATATTTAGATAAAACTAACTAATACTTTTTTTTTTCCCTCAAATCTCATTAAAAAATAAAAATCTTGTGTAATAGATACGAATTTTTTGTCATTAGGAATAGAAATTTTATGGTTGGTAATCAAGATTAGAGACTATCATTCCTTGTGTAGCTTTGACTAATCGGAGGATATAGTTTTGGGTTAAATAGAAGTTTTCCAAATTGCTTGGNATTAGGAATAGAAATTTTATGGTTGGTAATCAAGATTAGAGACTATCATTCCTTGTGTAGCTTTGACTAATCGGAGGATATAGTTTTGGGTTAAATAGAAGTTTTCCGAATTGCTTGGACTGTCAAATAAGTCAGTCCATACAAATTTAGCTAAACGCAATACAAATTTGTCTAAACTTGATTTAATGTGNCAAATTGCTTGGGCTGTCAAATAAGTCGGTCCATACAAATTTAGCTAAACGCAATACAAATTTGTCTAAACTTGATTTAATGTGATATATATACATGATATGAGTCTGATTTGATAGAAATCTAACTTTATATAATTATAAATAAGTCAGATATGAATTGAATAAATTTTAGTACGATATAAATTATACTACTTAAAAATATGACATGATACTCACAAAACAAGAAATTAGATGCTCATCTAAAAAGTTTAAATCG